ATATTAAAATCTGGCTCCTATCTTAAGGAAATTGAGTTTAATGTCCTTAATTTAGCCCCCAGTCCACATATATCCCTATCACAAAGCAATCATACAATTTGGCTGGACGGACAGTGGCTGCTGAGGCAAGAAGCTCATCCTGGAATGGCAGGGCTGTTGCAAGGCAGGCCCCAGGCCTCTGTAAAGCATCTGTAGCCTGTGCAATATGTGCATGGTACATTCAAACTTGTGAGAAACCATCTTATTTTCACTTCTTTCTTTTCCTGGTACCTTTTGCAGGCGGAGTTTTAATTACCAAAGCAGTTGTCACCTTCCTGTATGGTGGCAGTGGCCAAGATGGATGAGAACAAAGGTGGTCTCTTGGTTTTTTTCATCTTTTCTCCAGCTCTAAGTGCAGCCTCAACAACTTGATTCAGCACATCTCCCTTCTCTTTGAGGCACAGAGGAGGGCTGCAGGGTTAGGTGCTGCATCCATAGATTACTTAGCAGGAAAAACATGAGTGGCATATTTTGGTCTTGGGGATTGATATGCAACACTCCCAACGCCGAAGTCAACTGCTAAATAATCTGGAGTCACAAAGGGGCAGAGCGGTTGTGGAGGGGAAAAAAAAAAATGTGAAGGGGATAAAAATTAATCATGGAAAGAGTGTTATGTTTTATGTTAGTAAATCATTTTAACTAATTGATTACATCATATCTCCAGCCAGGCTTCCGATTTAAAATCTTCAGGAATCGGTGGGCAGGGATGTAAAAGGCACTTGTTCTCTTCATCTGGAAAACATCTATGTTGCTTATTTTCCAATATTATGGGGAGTTTTTTCTCTGCATTTTTCTTTCAGATTTTTTTTAATGCCTTTTTGATGATTTTCTGATCTGTTTGCTTAACGACATAAGGGGCAAATAGTAATTGAAAGGCACTTGAAGAGTATTGATATAAATATCAGTGTGCTGGGTGCATTTTGAGATGGAGAGAGGGGTGTAAGATGGAGGATAAGTCTGACAGCTCGCGGCAGACGCGGCTGATTTGTAAATAACAAAATTGTAGGATTTATTCCTTTTGATGCACTGCACTTTTATTAAAAGAAAATCCCCTGGAAACCTCTGTAAATGGCACGAAACATATAATTAGACTTAGCTTTTTTCACCCTCTGCTTATGCTTATGTTCAGTAACTTCAGCAGTGATTCAGTAACAACAGATTTTATAGAAACATCTGACAATGAGAACAAATATTTGCAGTGTTTTCAGTCTCTGCTCTGTATTTCTCTCTCCGAGGCAGAGCTTGCCTTCCTCGTGTGTGGATCAGTGTCGCTTTCCCTGCTGCTCACACCTCCAAACCAGATCCACTTTCCAGCACTAAATTTTAGATGTGACTTTTTACCCCTCGCTTCCTACCTCCCAAATGCCACCCTACAAATTCCTGTCTCCAAATTCCAGACCTCCCAAAAATGAGTGCCACCAGCAGGCAGGCGCTGGCATAGGTAAAATCATCGTGGCCAGGCACAGCTGGTGGGTGGTGGTGGCTCGGGAGCTCTCTCAGGCACTCACCAGAATTATTCCAGAGACCACACTGCCTCCTCCCTAGCTCAGAATTTGGGAAGTCACATCCATTTACAACCTCTTTGTCTTTAGGCCCATCGGCAGGTGGACCCACTGACGTGTGGACCCTCTTGGTGAACATCAAACAGCATTCCCACATTCTGCCTGGTGCCTTTTCTGCACCCATTTCCAACCTGTCAGAACAAGGGGAAAGAATACCGTCAATATAGTCGGTTCTGAATTAAAAAAAAAAAAAAAAATACATAGAAACGATAAAAATAGCCATTTTTAGAGGGTTTCAGGTTGAAGGTTGCTTGTCAGAATCCAAGAAGAGAGCAGCAGTTGTTCTGACACTGCGGTTTTCACATCCTTGTCAGAGATTTGAAGCAGGATAGCTGATGTGTGTTAAAAAAGGATGGGAAGGTTTAAAATAGTTTAGATGCTGCCTGGAGCAAGTTTGAAGAGATATAGTAAGGAGCATTGGTAGGAGTGTACGTGCACCTAAAACCACCCATGGGGAGAAAAAACTCATCCAACTGCTGGTACCTTTAATTCAGTTCTGACCTGAACCCCCTCCAATGACCCAGGGACAAGTCAGGAAATTTCCCAAGAAACATTTTTAAAACATAAATCGGGGAGGGAGTGACAACATGGAAAATGCTTTCATTGCAAGGGAAGAGGAAAAAAAAAAATCTCTCTCTGGTTTTTGACAGCTCTAATAACCCAGAGTCTAAGATTTGGGCTTGGAAAGGGGCCAGTTGGCCAAGCCTCTATCCACAGACAGGCTGGAGATGATGCTGATAGTCAGAGGGAAGCAAACAGAAGACCTGGCAAGTCCAATGCCACCCCTGACAAAGGGGATGTCTGCCAGCTCCTGGGTAAATCTGCAGTTGAGGTGTGCAGCAGTCACTGGGTTGTGCCTGTGCTTCTCCTGGAATCTGATCCAGTCAGCAGCCACCCGCAGAACGGCAGCAGTTTCCCAGATATTGGGCAATTCTGTACACAAGGAAACTATGCTGCAGCAGCTAATTGCTTTGGAAACTATGCTGCAGCAGCTAATTGTTTCAAATCATTTGGGATTTTCTAAATATCTTCGTAACCCTTGTGTTTCTGTAGATTTTAAAATATCCAGCTAATCTCCTGAAGTTGTGGAAAGAAAAATATGTTTTCCCTGGGGCGGTGATAAGAAATAATTGGGGCAATCGATCGACTCCAAAACTTTTGGATAGACATCAAAATGTCAGCTTTACACCCATATTCTTTGCTGCTAATTTCACCTCCATTAACTTAATCAGGAGTCAGTGGGAAAAGTAGGGTGACACTGAGGAAGCCAGGGAAAAGGAAATTTGATCTAGTCCCAAACAGGTAGCACAGGGGCTACTGTGTAATTATGAATGTATGTGAATTTATATTCAGCCTAAACCCAAACAAAAAAAATCTCCATGTGAATGAGTCTTCCACAGAGCTGTCCATTGATCTCATGAAGGTACAATAACATTTGAGAGGCATTGGATGATGTTCATGGTGTCCCATCCCTGGAAGCATCCAAGGTTGGACGGAGCTTGGAGCAGCCTGGGATGGTGGAAGGTGTTCCTGCCCATGGCAGGGGGTGGAATGGGATGGGCTTTAAGGTTCCTTCCCACCCAAACCATTCTGGATTCTCAGCACGGGATGCCTTCAGCCCAGAACTGCTGCCTACCCCAGCCCCAGAAGGGATGTCTCCCTTTACAAAGAATTGTGGGAGCATCTCAGGGATGTTTTCTTTCTCTCCCGCTTTTAGAACCAAAAAACTAGAAGTTTAACCCCAATTCCCACCTCTTCCTTTTGCAAAGAACTTTCTGGCATTGCCACTGCCCTGATGGCCAAAGCAGTGGCAGTTTTGGCCACTGGGCTCAGAGCTTTTTACCACTCTTGCTCTTACAAATTCAACCCCTCCTAGAAGAAAAAAAAAAAAAAAGGAAAAAAGAAAGAAAAAATAATCTGTTATCACTGAGCATATGTAACTGCTAAACATCCTATTCAGTATAACTCCAGCCTGTTCTGAGAACTGAGTTTCACAGTTTCTTTATGCAGTATCTGTCTGTCAGATATTGCCCACTACATTACCATAGTCTATATAATATAATTCCACCAAAAATAAAAAACATATATATGTGTGCATATATATATATGTGCACACACACACATATATATGTATAGATATATATTTATAATATACATATTTTTTACTACTTGCTGTGAAAAGAAAAAAGATGTTAAAAGATTTTATTTTCATTTTACATTGCGTGTGTTCTATGTTCCTTGTATTAATGGCACGAAGGAAATTTAAACACTGTGGTGAATTTGTGCCTCCATTTTGATGTAATTTCTCTAATCTGCTAAATATAAATACTGCATCAGTTTTAGATATTTCTAGAGCAACCATCACCTTAGTTCTTCGGTATGACGTCAAGGAGCCAACAGGCTGTACACAGAATATTTGGGCCCCCTGTGCATTTAAAGGTGCCACTAAATAAAATTCTCCAAACCTTTTATTTCTTAGTAAATCAAATTCTCACAGAACTGAAGGCAACTCCTTGGGTGCCAGGCAGGCAGTGCTGCTGTAACAATTAACCCATGGGCAGCAGCAGTGGAACAAAGGCTACTTCTTTCATTCCTTCATTCAGTTTTTCTACCTTTTGGGTTCTGGTTTTGCCCAGCTGCCCCTTCCTCCTTTCTGTTCCCTCTGTGGCTGAGCTGTGCTCACACCAACCCAGTGCCAAGTGGGGTTGCACAACAAGCACCATCCCTTGCACCCCTTTGCTGACCAACTTACAACTGATCTGCACTTCTGCTGTTCCTTAACCACCACCAGCTACAGCGAGGTGAGGTCTTGGGGGCTATGATTTGGGCATATTAAAATATATCAAGAAAATATTGATGTTGGCTCACTGGGAGGACACAGTTAAAATTTATATTAAGAGTTCCTGATATTTTAAACACCTCAAATTGAAACAACCTTTGATCTTCTCACTAAGTGTCATATAAACAAGACAGGAACACTGTGTATCTGAGATATTTCTTTATGGTTTCCTAGCTTAACCTCACATGGGTTTAAGTATTACAGGGGACCTCACCACTGCATATAAGAAAATGAGGCCTAAATGTGCTCATATCCAGAGGATTCACCACCTTATTAATGCATATATGTCATGCATAGATTATTAACAGCTTCATAACTAGATAGGAACTTGCATTTCAATAAACATACTTTTACAAGTGCAAAGGAAAAAAGTTTTGCATTAGGATGTTACTTCTTGTCTTTGTCCTGGGAGAATGCAACTAAAGAAACCACATTTAAAATCAGACATTAGATATGCAAATATGTGTTCAGATCAGAGATACGAAAATTATTCAAATGATTAATTATTCATCATAAAAATGTCAATTAATAATTCTGAAGCATAATAGGCATCTTTCTAATGCATCTTTATTTTTCAAGCCTAAATACTGTTGAATCTGTGTTCAATTGCATTCTAACAAGTTTTTAAAAATTCAACAAAGTAAACAACCAACTATAAACAAAAGTGAGCCGTGAATTTTAATCACTGCCAACTGAGCCAAGAAATGTGACCAAACTTCAGCATTGATCCCAGAAGAGAAGGAGAAGCTGCTCCAGCTCATGGTGTGGGACAGTGGCTGGAGGATGCTTGTCCCTCACTGTTCACTGCCCAGTGAGAAAAGAAATTTTGGGACCTGTGGATGCAGACACACAGACGTTGTGAACAGCAGCTGAGCAGCTCTAGGCCATCAGAAGTGGCTTTATGAATGACAAAATTAACAAAAACATATGAGGAGATTCACTTTTAACATTCAGGGACTCACACAAGATCAAATATTACAGTGATCTGCTGGTTAGAAATGCCCAGGGATAGATAAATTAAAGCCAGACAATCTTTTTCCCCTGCTTTTGGCTCATATCCTATCCCTACATGGGTTTTCCGCAGAGGAACTTGAAAACTTTGGGAATGTTGATTCAAAAGGTTTCTTCCCAAATACCTCATCAGCGGGTGGGGGGAGAGTCATTCCCTGACCCTTTCTTCCTCTCTTCTGTGCCCTCTCCTCCATGTGGAAACTGGAAAAAAAAATAAAGGCTTTGCTTTCTAAATCTTAGTTTATAGGGACACCTGTACTGAGCCAAAGTATCCAGCAGCATCTTGGGCCCACATGGGGCCTTCCCTGCTCACAAGAATTATTCCAGCCTGTATTATCCTCTGCTGCCACAGGTGACTGCAGAAAATAATCCCCCCGGCATCTTTTTTTGTTTGATTTGGGTTGGTTGTTTTTTTGGTTTTTTTTGCAACCTCAGAATTCTTTCTCAAGGCAAGGACATCTTCTACACCCCAGAGACAGGAGCATGAGAAGCAGCCAGAACCCACAGGGATCCCAAATCTTGCAGGAGCAGCTCCCTCAGAGGAGCAGGGCTGTGGGGAGGGAAGGATGCTCTCCACAGGCTTGGCTGCAAGTGGGCACATCTCATCTGGGTCCCCTACACGGGGATGTTTAATCCCTGATGTAGGAAGGGTTCCACACTTCAGGGAAAATAGTCAAGAATTCTGGCTATGAAAGACATGAAGGAAAAGCCTCAGAGCATCTGAAGTGTACTTAGAGGTGTTAAACCTGTCTTCACCAGCCTCTAAAATATATTAGTCAAAACTCATCAGCCATGGCATCTTTGCTCCTATTCCCTCAGTTCTCCTCCTTCCATGTGGTGGGCAAGAAAATACAGTCCCCATTACTCATCCTCCTCCAGGGGACAAGCAAACACACCAAAATAAATAAGGCAGTGAATCATCCCCTCAGACCGTGCCACCAGTCCCCATAAAGCCAAAGGCTCAGGTCCTCCAGGGCCTGTGTCCCAAAGCCCTCCTCAGTGGCTGGTCACCTCCCCTCTCAATCAGAGCTGGGTGCCTGGGGGTCACACGGAGCTCTCTCCCTGCACAACCCCTTTCTCACGGCAGGGTTTGTCCCTGGCAGCAGGATTTGCCCCTGGCTGGCCCTACAGATCCACACAGTGTTGGGAACACGGGGTTATCCTCACCACGATAGGTTTTGGTGGACAAAGGAAACCTACCGAGGAGCTGGAAGCAAGAGGGCTTCTCCTGTGGCTTTAACCAGGCAGGTTTGCATCAGGAGCAGCCCACCCTCATCTCAACTTGCAGCATTTCCATGTAGGAAAACCTGAGGAAAAGAGCAGAAACCTGCACTCAGAGAACTGCCCTTAAAACCACCTCCAAGCCCCAGTGCTGGGAGCTGTACACAAGGAAGGAGCTGGGGTTTGTGAGGATATTTTGGCTCTGCTTGCTTTTAAACTGATGGGGTGGGGGGGATAGGATGTGCAAAAGTTTTAAAATAGAGCAGGGGATAGGATCTGCATGGGGATGCTGATGGAGCAGGGACTGAGATCCGGGCTGCCAGCACCACCCCAATAAAGGCAGGATCTATAGCCTGTCATTATTCCCATCTCCTAAAGAAGCTGCACACCCGTTATTAGTTCAGAGCCGGGCAGGAAATCATCGCCTGGATTAAGGTTAAATTCCATCTCAGAAGGGCTTAGCAGATTGCTAAATGTTTAGGTCCAGTGTCCAAAAATTAAAAATGAAAAAAAAACCCAACAAACAGCCCCACATCTCACATTAAAATATCATCTAATAATGTTGGGTGCTATGTCAGTCCTGCGAAGATCCGAGCAGTTTTATCGCTCTGAAGCAAACCCTGCGGAGGCACATCAGAGCTGGGGAAACTGTGAGATTGAGGGCTGAAAGAACAGCCAGCAAAATTATGAATAGGGATTATCTGACAATGCCAACATGTTTCTTAAAGCCCTTGAGCATCATCACACGCTCTGAGGGTTTGTTTTTCAGCGTGGCTGCGGATAAATATATTTTATTGATACACCATCGACAGCACTCCTGCCTATTGCGAGTCAGGCTGCAGCCTCTCGTAATCTCCAGTTCATCCCCTCGTTTTGTAATCTGGAAATGTAGGAACAATATGTAAGGAATTTGTAATGGGATTAATTTATTTTGAGAAGTTGTTGGTTGGTTTTTAGGTTTTCTCCTTTTTCTCCTAGAAAACGTGGGTGAGTGGAAATCGAGTAAGTCAGTAATTAGCATTCACTTTTTTCTTTCCCTTTCTTTTTATCATATGCATCTAAATTCAGTTTAGCTCTTTAAGGAATTGCCAGACTGCCCTTGATTTATAGGCAGTGCCTTCTGGATCTGAGAGGATCTAATTCAAACTAATAATACTTGAATCTGATTTCAGGATATTTGCGCTGCGCTATATATTTCATTAAGATATCATCATTCTGTGTGTGTGTGTATGTGTGTGATATGTCTCTGTGTATCCAGGTACGTTTAGGCATGGAGAAGTCATGCATCCTGCAGGAAAATCACGCTGGCATTTTAGAGAATAGTGGCAAGAAAACTTTTAACAAAGCCATGACGACTCGTAGCGGGGAACAAAAACAGAGCTATAAATAACAACAATCAATATAAATAAAAATAAGAATTGAAAAGATAAGGGCAGCTCGTTGCCACCTTTGCCTGGTTGGGGATTGCAGCGGCAGCAGACGGCCAGAGCCTGCCTCTCCCTCCCCACTCCTCCTGCAGCTCGGGGGTGAGGATGGGGACACCCGGAGGTGCCACTTCCCAGCTCGGGAGGGCATTTGGATGGGATCCCCCATCCCACAGGGCCACCCACTCCCGTCTAACCAAGAGATGACCAAAAGAAAAAAAACCAAAAAAAATCGCAGGCAGATGTCGGTGGCTGTGATGAGCTGCAAGGACACCCTGCGGGGGGCGAGGGGGTCCCTTCCTTGCTTTGCGATGCTGAGCCGCCGGGAAGGTGTTCCCTGAGCTGGACCATTCTGGAGCGCGATCCCACCGCTATTGCTCGCCCTCCGCTTCGCGCTTTAGGCACACCTTCAATGCACAGTTCAAGAGCAGTTTATCTAAGCTTAATGTAAGTAAAAGTGCGGTGTGGGATCAGCGTGCCATTTGTTTCTGTTTTCCTCGGGAGGGGGAGAAGAAAAAAAAGCCACATCAAGTGCTGGAACAGGCTGAACTCTTGTCCGAGCCGGGAAATTGTTTGGCAGCGCTTTAACGCAGCCCTTTGGGGCTTTTACCCCGGGAAGGGACCGTGCGAGTGGGCAAGAAGCGAAGTTTCTCTTTGCAGTGAGATGATTTCGAGCTCCTTGAGGAGGAAGGAGCGGCTGTGGGCTGTGCTGAGAGCTGGGCATGAGCGGCTCAGCCGGATCTGCCCCCTCTGCAGCCCAACGCCTTCGCTCCGCATCCCCGGCTCGCTCTGCCTCCACTTACTTCGGAATTACTTCTCGATTACGTGCGGTGTAAACCGGCTTTTTCATTAACAAACCGGCAGAGCGTTGGTTAAGAACACTTAAACTTCAAAAAAAAAGAAAAAACTATCCCCCTGGGAAGTGGGCTCTGAATTGGTTAATAATGTGCAGTACTTGCTAAATTGCTGACTTCCAGATGTGGAAAATATCTTTCTTGTTTAGGACCTACGTAACCTGATTGGATTACGACAGAAGCGTCACATTGGAAGGCTTTTGAGTGATGATTTAATTAACCATACAGTAGAAAGCTGTATTTGCCAGGAAACCCCTTCCATATTTGCATAACCAATCCCTTCAGTGCAAAGGTGGAGTCTGGGCTGCTTTTTTTTTTTTTTTTTTTTTTTCCCTTCTTTTTTTTTTTTTTTTTTTTTTTTTTTCTTTCCCTTCTTTTTTTTTTTTTTTTTTCTATATGCAATTTTATTTTAATTTTAATACTTGAAAAAAGTGAAAAACTTGTAACCTCCCTGAAGTTCAGCCCCACGCGTTACTCGTCCACGCTGTCTCTCTGCTCATCCAGCTACTTCCAAGAAAGAGCAGAGCCAAGAAAAGAGCCCATCTCACCCCTGATCCATATCTGTGAACAAAACAGATAGACTGTAAGATCTCAGCACGTTCGGCTGATTTTTTTTTTTTTTTTTCATCAGATTTAGCTGACTATTCAAATAACCTGGATGAGCGCTGAAATGAAAGGGAGGGGAGAGAAAAAAAA